AAATGACCAAAACTTTGGGAAACATAAAATTGTGGAGCAGAAAACAGAGAATAAATCAAAGAATCATGGTGATAAAAAGCTCTTTTCACTGGCAATGATACAATTAGCAATTTTTCTTTTCATGTGTGTATGTGTTTTGTGTGTGCCTGTACTTCAGTTTGTACTTACGTGTTCTGGTGTGTTCCTCCATGCAAGCACATGTGGATGCAAAACACGAGTGCCAAAATGTCTTCTCCCTTGCTTCTCCACCTTATTTTTGGAGACAAGATCTCTCACCGAGCCTGTTTCTATTTCTTCCAGTTATGTTGGTTGACTAGTGAGACCCAGAGATCACTGTATATAGTTATCAACTATAACTATAGTTGATAATGCTGGGGTTATCAACTATGTCTGGCAATTATTTGGCTATTGGGCATCTAATATCAATCCTCTTGTTTGTATAGTAAACATCTTGTTCACTGAACTCCTCTTCCCAATTTTTCTTAATTATCATGTAAGAAAAGCATTTTCTGCCCCAGATGTGTTGTCAAGGAATACCAGGATACCCAAAATAATCAGTCATGTAAATAACTTTAGCCCATGTTATTATATTTCTGAGGAAATGAATATCATTTCACTACCATAAGGCTTACCCTGGTTGGAATTAGCCAACAACATTACTCAAATATAATGTTACTAATATTACAGTGGTAGATTCAGTGCAAGAATGTCTACTGTATGCAAACTCTACAACAGAGCATCCCAATTTTGTCATGATTGTGAGTCACCAGAGGAGCTGAAGGAATCAGTAAGTATTCATGTCTGACAACCCACAAGCCTTAAAGTTTCATCCAAACACCAAATTTAATAACAAGGTCTGATTTGCATATGTGTACCCCTGTAGTAATGGTATGCCAGTGGCTTGACACTAATTTGGTATGCATTGAATTTTTTCTTTATTTAAATCTTTATAACTAATGCAAAGATGGAAGGAAGTACATTTACTGGTGTGGTAGAACAGTTGAAATACTTCCCACACTATAAAAATTATTTTAAGGCTATCATCTTAGAAATCTGGCTCACTGGTATTTATAAAGAATATTATCTGTCTCTGGCTCACAGGTATTTGTAAATAATATAATTTATCTCTATTGTCTTGTAAGCAGTTATAAACACCAACATGTCACTGAATTTTTCACTTTTAACTATCTGCCATTGTTCTCTGGAAGGATATGGGTATTATTTAGTGTTTCAGTCTCTATTTCTCCCAAGTGGCACTTTATTGAATTGCCATTGGCCTTTGCCAGGGGCAATGACAATTTTTCCTTGGCTTTCTTATTTGTTTCTTCTCCTCTGTTTTCTTTCGTATCAGGTAATCATGGGATTATTTGTTTCCTGAAATTTGTCTAAGATGAAGGCCTATGACGAAAAGCATATACATCAAGAGACTGGAATTGTGAGGAAAGATTTTATTAGAATCTTAAAGGGAAAGATGATATTTGTTATTTTAATTTACTTTAGATGGGCTATCAGCCTACTGTCTAAGAAGACCACTATGAGGAAATTCACATATTAGTAGATATGAGGACAGGAAGTTTCCAGTATCCCTGGATCTTAAAAGGGAGCAGAGTCAATAGGCTAGAAATGAAATGCAAACCTCTGACAATAAAATTGAATACCTATCTGTAGGCTTTCAGCTGAGTCCATATCAGGTATCTTTATATCAGACTTATTAGTGAAGCATGGAAAATGTCTACAAAGTTATTTTAGGAGAACAGCATAGAAATTTGAGAGAGTGAGTTTCCATAGTTCACAAACCACACAGAGGCAGCACAAGCTCAATGAACAAACTCTAAGGACTTCATCAGGGAAAAGCCTTGTTTCTCCTTGCTCCTCATCCCAGGGACCTCTAACCCTGACTGCTCAAACATGCTCCAGCATTGCCCTTTGCATAACATCTGCACCTCTACAAATGCCTTCTTGCATATTCATTGATTCACTGCCCAACAGGTCTAAAAATGTCCTCTCCTTTCTTATCTTCGTATTTCATTACTTTCCAAGATTCTAGGAATCACTTACTCTGGGATGCTTTCTCCAAATACCTTGGTGGGATATCAGTTGCTTATTCCAGTCTACTATAATCTATCTTTCATATAAAATTATCTGAATTCTTACAGTGTTCTGATAATAGCTCTCTCACTGAACTATGCTTCCCGAATTCCATTACTGAAAAGAGACAATATTTTACCTGTGAGTTGTTTCTAGAACCTCAAATCATTTCACTGTTCACTGGTGAATGCTGATAATTCAGATTAATAAATGTACAAAATTTCACTTTTCAATTATTTTTACTGTTCCTAAATTTACTATTTCCTATTTTGAATATATCTTTTGTTTCCTTAGGAACGTTATTTGAAAGCATAGATTTCTGAGGTCATCCCACTTGCCCAGTTTGATTGCTTTTATATTTTGTGTTATTATCTCTTTATAAGCAATTGTACCCATGGATAATCTCATGAATAATTTTAAAAATGCCCTTCTAGCCGGGCGATGGTGGCTCACGCCTTTAATCCCAGCACTAGGGAGGCAGAGGCAGGCGGATCTCTGTGAGTTCGAGGAACTACAGAGCTAGTTCCAGGACACGCTCCAAAGCCACAGAGAAACCCTGCCTTGAAAAACCAAAAAAAAAAAAAAAAAAAAAAACCTTTTATAGATATGTAGTGATTTTATCTCTTGTATTTGATTTCTTCCCTTAATATATATATCATTGCAAACCCACCTTCACTTACTTCTGTAAGCCACCATCCATCTCCGCACCTTCTCTTTCACTCTCTTGACAACAGTCCTCTCATATTCTGGCTCATTTAGTAAGGCCTTCATAATTTAGAACTCTTTCTTCACGCAGTTCTCTTGTGAACGTGTTTTGTTGATTCAGTAGAAGCTAGACGACAAGGAAGATCTCAAAACGGGGTTTGTCATCATCTTAGCATCTTTTTAGATAGAATGGGCATGTAAAATAATTCTGTGCGTGTGCAATGTGTGTGTGATGCCAGTCGTGGCACACAGATGGCTAAGAAGAATACCAGGTGCCCTCCTCTATTGCTCACAACTTTGACTCTTTGAGAAGGTCTCTCAGGAACTTGGAGTTCTAGGATTTTTTTTTTTTTCAGCTGGGCTGGAGACCAGCAAGACCCAGCCGCCCACCCACCTTAAGGATGTTGTGAAAATAAAATGAAACACTATGACTGGAAACAGTCTTCAAATTTTAACAGAATGCAATATGTGACGTAGTTTTTTTTAATGTCTTTATCACACACACACACATACACACAAATGGTAGAAAGTCACAAAGTGTTCTTTGCGTCTCAACTCACGTGGTGAAATATTTCCCACAGGTTCTATTAAAGCAATAGCAAGAAACTTTTAGCCTTCAGCCCGTCTTCCACCCACCAGATTTCATATACAAATTATTTCTGTCCAACACAATGCTTGGCAAACTATTTTTTCAACATTTTCCATCTATTTACTAACTGTGACCTCTTGTGTTTGGCTCCTTGCTTTACTGGCTGACCATGAAATGCATCTTGTCACTTCTCTCTTCCATTTTGCCTAGACAGCTGTCAGGTACCTGGAACACTGCTCCCCACTGCTCTGGCTGCCTATCTCTCCAGTGGGCTCCTCTTTCCCTCTACTGGCTGCCAAGGAGAAGCACATTTATTGGCCTTGCCCCCAAACAGATGCGTGCCTTGTTCCCTTCCCCCTTTCTCTTCAGTCAAAAGTCACCTGCCAAGGGCTGGTAGTTGCTGCCTCCCCTGTCCGCTGCTTCACGTTGCCTCGGTTCAGGTACCTTTCTGCACCCCCTCCTGAAGTCCCCTTGGCCCTATCTGCCAGCCTGGTATGCCAGCAGCCTCCCTCCAGCTCTTGTAGCTTTTTGGGCTCCTTCCAGACTCTCCCTGCCTCTCTGAACTGCTCTCAGCATCTTGCTCCCGCCCTCGTCAGCTGTTCACCCCCCGGGGTGGGGGAGCTGCCTCCTGTTTCCTGGGCTCTCACCTTTGCTCCGCAGCTGCCTCCTCCCTACTGCCCTCTCCTCTTTTCTCAGATGTGTTAATGATCCTGTCTTTGGAGTCCCAGCGTTTACAGTGCGTTCATCACCCATTTGAAGGGGGGGCACTTCCATGCCGATTCCGTATTTGACTGGTCTCCTAACTGAAATCCTGTGCTGATTTCCCAGTCTATTAGGCAGAATAAAAGGATCCTGGGAGATAGCAGACCACAGGATTAGGGGACCCTAACAAAGTTTTAATGGCAGGTTTGCCATCTCCATCTTACAAACTTGGTCAGCCCGGGTTCCTGGTCCACACCATCAAGCAACTCACAGGAACCTGAGTGTTGTTCTGATTTCCAGCACCAGGGTTCTTTTTGAATACCTCTAACTAAGATGCCAAATACTCTTCAAGACCAGGCCTGGGCTGCTCCTCAGCTTCTTACAGGGTCCACAGCCCAAGCCCCACCCAAGCACTGGTTGGGGAGGGGAGCACTTGTTTTCAGATGTGAGGGCGGGGGGGGGGGGGTAGGGGAGATGCAGGAATAGATTCCTCCGGGGGAATCCCAGGGGTGATTCGACCTTCTGGATGAGGGCAAACAATAAGAAAAAAGAGTTCATCACCAACTAGAGCCCTGCAAAAGGCCGGGGCTCCACACGGTAGCCAAGAGGCAGCCTTTATGAACCGTCTCCTTTAAGAAGCGCGCCTGCGTGTGTTTCGGGCCTTGTATACTCGTGTGTGTGTGTGTGTGTGTGTATGTGTGTGCGCATAGGACGGAGCGTGCGCGCGCGTGTGGTTGGAGAGTGTGCACGCGCGGGGCCCCAGAGCTTCGCAGACCCCGAGAAGGAGGAGTTATGTAGATTACGGGTGAACCTTCTGGAGGGGGAGCGGAGAGGAGGGAAGGAGCAGCAGAGTGAGCTGGGAGCGGCGGAGGCCCTTCCCGCAGAAACTGGGGGCACCGGCGGCGTAGGAGGTGGAGGAGGCGGAGGACGCAAGGGCTGGAGGCGGCGGCTGCGACTCGGCGGCGCTGGGAGTCGGGAACCGCGGCTGAACTTGGGCGCGCCACGTTCCGGGCGACAGCAGGGAGAGGATGGTGAACGCTCGCCACCGCTGACCCTGCCTTTCCTCAGCTCCTCCCCGGTTGCCGAGTCCCCGCACTGATCTCCTCTTCTGGAAGGGTGGGTGAACCTGCAAGCTCCCTACCCACCCGAGGACTTTTTTGAAAGGAAACGAGGGAGTGGGCATTGGGAAAGAGGGAGAAAAACGCAGGGGAGCTCGTCCATCCGTGGAGGCACAGTTCACTATGATCTTACTCGCCTTCAGCACTGGAAGAAGGTTGGATTTCGTGCATCGTTCAGGGGTGTTTTTCTTGCAAACCTTGCTTTGGATTTTATGGGCTACGGTCTGCGGAACGGAGCATTATTTCAATGTGGAGGTAAGACTACAGTGCTTTCTTCCTCTCCCCTCGCCTGACTGCTCGCTGGAACCTTTCCTTCACTCGCCGGTCCTTGTAGCTCGGAGCACATTGTTTCCTTTGCAGCCAGCCACTGAAACCCATGTTGAGTTTGCCAGTGTTGTAGGTGATGGATGCCTGGAGACCGACAATCCGTTATCCCCAGCTGCACAAAGCACGATGCTGCACGCTCAGAGACTCATTCTAGCAGGCTGGTACTGCTTAGCCAGGGAAGAGGCAAAGCTCTATCTAGAGCAAGCGTGTAGTTTTATAAGAAAGCTTGAGTTTTTGCTGGGTCCAGAGCTAGGGAAGCAGCATTGATGGCTGGCATCATGTGCCGCCTGGGTATTGTTCCTGTAATATTTCTTCTTGTGGTCTGTGCCTAACAAAGGGAGGATAAAAATCAAAGATTTCAAGGAGAGCATGGGAATACTTGATATGCTTAATAACACCACTTTGTGATAAAACACTCGGGCAGACAGTGTCTTCCTATTAGACATAACTTAATACACTTGTAACTAGATCTAACTGTAGAGAGCACATGAAAACCATTGCCTTAAGTGCCTACTCTCTCTTCCCAGGGGACTGAAAATCAACGTGGCCCCATCTAATAGTTCGGGAGGTGTGTTTTTAATTTGATTTCACACTGACATGACAAAGCCTAGATGTCTTAGATTGCCATTTGTTTGACTGTGGTAATTTTGGGAACAGACAGTAGAAACAATAGGGAACTTAAGGATAAGGAGTTGTCAGACCTTTGCTAAAGTGCACTTCCTGTCATCAGCTGAGCACTAAAGCCAGTCATGTGCAGTAAATCAATGAACGGCGTGCACACCTGGGCGCTGACACAGTTCCTTCCGTTAGCATTACACATAAGGCTGAGACTGTGGGAAGGTCTGGGTAGAACCAACTTCTCTTAATTAGCTATCATGGCTTCACATATCTCAAAAGAGTTAGTCTTGAAACTGCACCGATGGGTGTGATACTTGGGTTACTGTCCTGAAGCTTCCTGTTGTGTTAGGAGCTTGTGTTTACACAATAGCAGGACCTGTTGCACAGGGCTTGAACATGTTTCATGCAACCGATTTATAAGCAAAGTGCTCATAATAAGTGCCCTGTGTGCAGGCAGAGTCTTCTATGAACTGTCCTTTGGCCTCCATTTAATGGAGCAGAAGCAGTATAGTTGAAAGAGCAATAGCCTTCATCATAGGAATTAAGGAAGTTTTCAGATGTTAAGTAGGAATATGTTTCAAAGGAGCAATTTAAAAACCAAAATAGTTTAACCCTTTGAAGCCCACCACTTGATTTCTCTACTTAAAAACAGCAACGGAGAGAAAGATTCAGGCTTTTCTTGATGGCAAATTTGAACTTCTGGAACTGCATGCTACTATGAGTTTTATATTAACATTTAAACCAAGGGATAATTTGATTGAAATAAAGGAGTGATTGATTTAAAAGCTGAAGGAATGAAAATGGAATTTGTTGTTTATAATGTTATATACAAAAAGGGATGTTCCTACGTGGTGGTAAAGGAGATTGTGAGGATGGGGTAAGAGGGAAGGCAGTTAGAGTAAGTGCTGGCTGGTATCTTGTTTCCTGTGGGAATTTGAGCCTGGGTGGATAGCTACCTGCTTTGGGAAACTCTAACTTACATTTACAAGATTGAATGACATCAGTGTTTTGATGATTCTTAGGTTTGTTTGAGCAGACTAAATATAGATTAGAGTGTATTTCCTTTTATTGGAAGCTTTGTCTATTCAACCAGATATTGTCACCTGAAAGAGGTTGAGATACTTCTGTAAAAATGATTTCATATTGAATTTCAAATATCTCCTTCTGTCTCTCAAGATTTGTGTGTAGGGCAGTTCACAGAGCCACTCTCTCTTTGGAGGGGGAATATTTAAGTTATTCCAGCCATGTTTATTGCACAATGCAAAGATTTAGTTGGCACTAAAGAGTCATGTGCCTTCTGAGACCTTAGCAAGCTTACTTACCACAAAGGGAATTTTCTAATGATTTATAGTAGATTGTGTTTCACAGTTTGTATTATTTCCAAGTGTGCTTTGTAAGCTATTTAGTACGGCTTCAGTTGAATTTCTAAGCATATGTGTGTGTACATATGTATGAATGTATGTATGTATATATATTACTATAGCTGATAGTAAACATATAAGTAGCTGTTATTAAAATCAAAATGTTATACAAGATAATAGGGCATTTTTGACTAGTGATTATGCCTGTTGAAAGTTTACTAGATATTTCTTCTAGATATTGTTTTTTTTCTAATAGGAAATGCTAAAGGGAAGAATAGTCCATTATTTCACTTCCAGGGAAAAAGAAATTGTGCTCTATAGTCTTGGTTGCAAAACATACACACTGAGATTGCTTTATTTCATTGATTCAAAGACAATCTTTTCTTAAAAAAAAAGAGAAAAGCAATAATAGCATCCATCATGCTTGAAACTCATAGGATTCTGATTTGTATCCTAATTTTTTTTCTGGTAAACACACTAAGTTATTAAGTGGGACCAGAGCTGTGGAGAGATGGTTTTTATGCTGACTGCAGTGACTTATACATTGCAGAACTTAATTTGTGATTTTCCCATAGTTTTGTCATGACTTAAAGTTAACAATCCTGTATTTTTTCCCCGAAGGAGGGGTTGGATAGAGGTATTCATGTTAACTCTTTCCTGTTTGATTTTTTTAAAATAAACATTTAGAGTTTTCCACTTTCAGAACGGATGCTAGAAATTTTTAGATATTCTTATGAAAGTTGGTGAGAAATGGATATTTTTGAGTTTTTGAATAAGCAAATAAAGTATCTATTAAATCAAGAAACAGATACTATCTAAGATAGTACTATGGATAGATCCCCTGCATTTCTCAACCCCTCCTTAAGTTGTAAGTGAACATTTATCTGCCAAGGTCTCTCTGTAGCCTTGAAGTGGTCATAGTCTAAGTCACCACCTTACAAAGTAGTAGCATGACTAATATTTACTGAAAATCAAAGACTGCTGTCATTGGATGACACTCTACACCTGAGGGAAATTATTAACAAGAAATTGTGATTTAATTCCTACAGTTTTGAAATCATTTCATTCTTAATGTCATTACTGGGAGCTTGAGATTTTCATCATTCTGGGGCTTATTTTTGGGGTACACACATTTTTTTGTTATAAAATTTGAAATAAATTATAGTTCTTGATGGCAATAACTTATCAACTTTTATAGCATGCCATATATATGAGCATTTTTAGTTTGATTTTTAAACAATGATACATGTTTGTTAAGAGGGAAAACATTGAGAGGCAGCTTTATGGTAAATCCTTGTAAGATTGAATGGTGCACACAGCAATGTGGAAGATGATGGTTATCATTTTGGGGAAAAATGATCTTGTTAAGGCAAAGTTTGATTTCCTTAAATCAAAGAAGTAAGATTCTATGATCCATATGGATCATTTATTAAAAGTGTTATGCATTGTGAGTGTAACTATTTCTTAAATCTACTTCTAGTTTGTTTATATAACTGGTTGTTATCTGATCAGAGTTCTCGGGCTTATCTGATCTATCTAAATAGTCATGCTTTGATTTGGGTAACTATGCACTGCATTGGAAATCGCCAATAATTGATTATGAAATGCTTTAAAAGATAAAGGTACTTCTGTTTTATAGATTTAAAGTTCTGTATGTTGAGATGCTTCATTCTTATTTCTTGGTTTCTATTTGCTTGAATGTTCAAGACTCATAATTTTGTTTACTCATAAAAACTTGTCTTCAGCTAACCTCTACCCTCAGCATTCTATACGTCTGTGTCGGAGCAGCTGATGACTGACCTGCAACATCTGCTGTGGGATTATAGGTTGAATGAGACACTCCACATGCTTCAGAGGGCCAAAATCTATAACCAGAGGACCAGGAGTTAGCAGACTAGGGGCTCTCCTGCTTCTTGCTGTGTTTCACTATGCCACTGACATTCTCTCTGGAAGTTGCCTAGATAGATTTTGCCCAAATCTAGAGTCTTTTAGGAATCCTTTTGGAAGGTATACAGACACAGGAGACATACTTGTCCTGACACCACCTAGCAAAGTGCACGGAGACTTACAGGTCCCCGTCCAGCTGGATTTTCTTTTTCAGACCCTTCCAGAAAATAAAGATCAAGTTAGATTCAACAGCTGTTTTGTTTCCTCTAAAGTCACGTTAAAAGTGATGTATTGAAGTTTCCACTATTTCTCATTCAGGATATGCAGTTACTAAGTAGAAAATTTTAATGAACTTGTTCAGATTACTAATCATTTTTTTAAAAAATTTTGATTAGTGCTATTACATGTGAATTTATTTCATTTCGAGACCCTGTGAAGCTACTCACACTGTACATGTTCTGAAGATTTCTAAATGGCTCAGAATATTTTCAGGCCAAAATGATTAACCACGAAATGTTAGACTCCATGTGTTGGATTTATTAAATGTTGGAAGAGAAAGACTTATTTCCTCATGTTCCTTTGGGGATTTTCTGACCCCATTGCCTGTGAATTTTAATTGTAAAAGTTCCTTTTCTCATTAGTTTCCACTACAGTTTATTCCAGTATCTGTGGATGTAATTATGTCTATTACATTGCCTTTTGTGGGGTAACGTACTTATGAAGAACACGCATCCTGAGACTAGACTTCCTAGCTTCTGTCTCATTGTGTCTGCTGGCGTACTCATCAGTCTCTGGAAGTTGTAGCTCACATATCCCAGAGATGAGGATACTATTTCCTTTATATCTTGTTTTGATGATTGAATGAATACTGTATATCCTATGCATATATTCATGTACATTATTGGAACCATTTTCTTGCATGGTTAAACACAATACTCTTTATCATTATTACTAGTTATAAATCAGCATTGATACAGAGGACTTTGACAGGATGGCAACAAATTATATAAGAGTCTATCAGGTTATAACATGTCAGCCAGTCTGAAAGGTTTCATTTAAATA